TGTGTGTGGGAGTGCGAGTGTGTGCGTGCGTGTGAGTGTGCGAAAGTGCGAGTGTGTGAGTGCGTGCATGTGTGCGCGCGTGCGCGTGCGCGTGCGTGCGTGCGCCTGTGCGTTGGTGCGTTTGCGCGCGCGCGCGTTTCTGCGCGGGCGTGGCCGCCAGGCGCCGAGGCTCAACCCTCGACCCTCGGATCGAGGACCCGAGATCCTGGAAGCTATGCTTGGCGATCCTCTGATCTAGGACCCAAGGTGCTCGAAGATGCCCGAGACCAAGATCTCGGACCCTCGATCCGAGGATGGGAGATCGACCCTGCTCGGCGGCAGCGAGGGCCCGAGGGCGACCACAGGAGCACTCCACTATCGCCGAGGCCCGGCCCTCGACCCTCGGACGTCGAACCCGAGATCTTCCAATCCAAGCTTGGCGACCCTCGGATCGAGGGTCCGAAGTGGTCGCGGATGCTCATGACCAGGATCTCGGATCCTCGATCCGAGGATGGAGGGTCGAGCCTGCTCGGTGGCAGCGTGGGCTCGAGGAAGGCGGGGGGGGCGATCTACTATCGGCGAGGCTCCGCCCTCGAGCCTCGGACGTCGAACCCGAGATCTTCCAGTCCAAGCGTGGCGACACTCGGATCTAGGATCCGAGGTGCTCGCAAATGCTCAAGACTCAGATCTCGGATCCTCGATCCGAGGATGGAAGGTCGAGCCTGCTCGGGGGCAGCGTGGGCTCGAGGACGGCGGCGAAGGCGATCTACCATCGCCCATGCTGGGTCCTCGAGCCTCGGATGTCGAGCCCGAGATCTTCGAGTCGAAGCTTGGCGACCCTCTGATCTAGGATCCGCGGTGCTCGCAGATGCTCAAGGCGAAGATCTCGGATCCTCGATCCGAGGATGAAGGATCGAGCATGCTCGATGGCAGCGTGGCGATCGAAGATCGCCGAGGCCCGATCCTCGATCCTCGGGTCGCGAACTCGAGGTCTTCGAGCCCAAGCTTGGCGACCCTCGGATCTAGGACCCATGGTGCTCGAATATGCTCGGACTCAAGATCTCGGATCAACGATCCGAGGATGGAGGATCGAGCCTGCTGGACCCCTAGATGCTTGATCGAGGATCACTCGGCGAGACGGGGGGAGTAGCGCCCCGCAGCTTGGAACGCCACTCGCGCATGCTCGGGCGCCCTCTTGGAGCTCTATAAGCAGATGGGGCTCGAGCGCGCGCCTCGAAATGGCACCCTCGCAACGAAAAAACATGGGGCGCCTGGCTCGGGGAGCTCGTGCGCTCCAGCGTCCACGAGCATGGGCGAGGCGGGCTCTGGCTCGGCCTCCGCGTCGGCCTGGCTCCTCTCATCATCGCGCTTGTTCGTGATAAGCTTGTCGTAGTCGGCCTGGGTCGACGCGAACTTGCCGAACTGCAGCTTGATGTGGTTCTCGAGGGGCATATGCTCGCGCTCCTGCAGCGTGGCGGTTTCCGAGTAGTCCCGCCTGGCGCGCTGGTATTGGTAGGTCCGCCCTTGCAGCTCGAAGCCCATGCCGGCTGCCTTCTGACTGGACCAGCACCGCTTGATAATTGCTTGATTGGTGGCCTTGGCGACCCCGTCGGTCGCGATCGAGACCATGGAGGTCTCGTTGCACCACTTGACGTACTCTCAGGCCCTGCTCGGAATCACGGCGTAGAGCATCTCGGATTTGTCGGCGGGCCCCTCGCCCGAGTGCTCGACGGGCTCAAACTTCTTGTTGAGCGGCAGCACTAGCTCGTGGAGGTGAAGGAGCTCGGCGGGCATGCTTAGGAAGGCATAGCCGGTGCGCTGTGTAGGAGCCGCGGGTGAGCTTCTTGACGTTCTCGGCTCCGAGCTCCATGTCTCTCTTCTAGGCGAGCTCCCGCAGCTTGGCCCTGAAGCTCGGCATGAGCCAGGAGAGGTCCTCGGGCGGCTCTCCGTGGTTCTCGAAGATGTCGCGCACGTGCTCGTCGTTCTCGCAGTAGGTCTTGTAGCGCGCTGTCACGGCCAGCTCGATGCGCCTCTTGTCCTTCTCGTTGAAGATGCGGCCGTACTCGATGCTCTTGCAGGGCCCGCCTTGGCAATGTCGAACACGGCTTGCTGGGCGCTGCTTGCCACAGGGCGCTCTCGGCCTTGAAGTAGCAGCTCGTCATCCTCGCGGCATCCATGCCTTGCGCACTCGACTGGCGCTGGCGCATCTCGGCGATCGCGCACTTGCCCGCGATGATGGCTAGGCGCTGGGGAGGGGGACGTCGACCTGGAATCGGCGATGCATCGCCGATGCATCGGCGATGCGCGCCCGATCGTGAATCCGCGCGCGCGTTCCTGGGCAGGCTCGGCATGCCTATCCCCCCCCTATCGCTGCCCCTGGGGCGAGGGGGCTCGGCGCCTCGAAGAGGCTCGAAAGCTCGGGGTCTCGGGGGCTCAGGGAAGCTCGGGCCCGGGCAGCTGCCAGGGCAGAGCAGGGGGAGGAGGAGGAGGAGGAGGAAGAGGAGGAGGAAGAGGAAGGGCCACGAACCGTGCGAGGGGTGCGCAAAAAAAATAACCCACTTAACTCTCATGCTTTGGCTCGAAAAACGCATGCACAATCAAAATCCAATCGGCCCCTATGGCCCTGCCATGCGTTCCTGACTCGGGAACGACTAAGAAAATGAGAACCCCATGGCCCTGCTGCACGTTCGTAAGGTGGGCAAACTGAGCTGGTGAGAATCCCACAGCCCTGCCACGCGCTCGCGATTGCGGAAGCTGGTATGGTGGTGAAACTACCATGGCCATGCTCAGCGCGTTTGATGCTGTTGCTAGTCAACATGGCATGATAGCAATTTCGACCCCCGCAACTTTCCCGTGGATTATAAAATTCGTCCGCCGCGCCTTCCTCCACAATTGAATGTTGGGCGCGGATCATGAATTATCGCCCGTCGGCGGTTACTTTGTTGAACCACAAGCCAGGGTCGGCACTCAGGGTTGGTCTCGCCCCCTGGTGGATGTCAGCGCACCTCGTGCCAGCGGGGGCCTTGCCAGCAACCTCCCAACTGTCCGCCTACTCGTCGTCCATGTTCGCGATGAACTACGCAGGTGTCGACTTTGGTAACCTGTCGCGCCGCGTCGACACCCCCGCGCGCCTCGCGCGCCCCCAAGACTTTTTACCACCTCGGGTGTTGGCGCGCTCCACGGATCCATTGGCGAGGCTGGGTGTCCTGGGCAATTCGGTGGGTGGATTTGATTTGCGATTTCGCGTGCTCCTCTGTGAATTCTCTCCTCCGCTCCTGTTCCAAACGCTCTGTCCTCGAGTGCCTGGCCGGCGTCCAAGTCCCTGGTAACTCTGCGTGGGCCCGCGCTCCATGTTGGCCCAGGACCGCCTGGAAGCACGAGACGCCATGTGCCGCGATCTCTTCTGGTCCAGGTTAGCGCGCGCCCATTTCCAGATTCGTCTGGTCCGTACCCGATCTGATTCATTCCTGCACCTTCATAAGGTTCGTTCCAGAAGTCTCGAGGATCACATGTTCCGAAGGAGCACTGGGCCCTCAAGTACAGCTCTACTGGGTCGGTCCGGATATATCTCCGATTTCCTCGATCTGCCTCCTCCGATTAACTCAATATGCCGGCGCCGGCCTTGACTTTCACACGGGGGGCTCTTCTGACGTAGAAGCCGTTCGCCATGATCCGCGCGGGTTTCTTCAAGAAACCCTCTTTCCTTTTGCCGCCTGCTTGAAATCATACCAGCTCGTCTGCACGTCGTCGCGCTGAAACATGTTCTGCAGTGGCGGCGCGGTCCAACTTGAGGCCCCCAACGGGTGTTCGAAAAGTGAAATATAACCCAGGATTCCTCTGATCCCCCGGGTTCCAACGCAAACTTGAAGTGCTTGGCCCCAGGGTCAAGCATTTCTACATGGTGCCCCGCCCAAAGTTTGTCCGAACTACATGCCCGTAGCCTGTTGAAAGCTGCGCACATTCGACTCACAATGAACACTCGGGCTGCTGTGCTCTTGATGATGTTATCCGTTTTTCCTCGCGTGGACTGACAAGATGAGTCCCATGGGCTTCCATGCTCATCGCAAGTAATTAGGTCCATGGCTGACCCTGGAACGAGTTCCATCTTTTCCACCACACAAGCAAACTGACTGGCGAGTAATCCCCAGTAGCGCGCACCTGCGCGCCATTATGTCTGCCCCGTGCCGCATAGCATCACCGCTCTCCTGATCTCATTCTGTTGAATGACGTCCAAGCTGGCAACGAAGAGCCATCCCACCACATCCGCATCAAAACTCATCATGTGTAACCCTTTTGCGGACCTCCTCAATGTTCATGTTGTCCTGTTATTCTCGGACTTATCTTATTCAATGTTCTCGTCGTTGGGCTCCTCGCCACCTCTGGCTCCTGGACGTCCTTGATGTGTCTCATGCCCCATCTTCATATCATGGTACGCGTCCGCTCTTTCCGAAACCGTCCCTATATGAAATTGATATTGCGTCGTGTCTGATTTCCATGAGAACATGCTGTCGAAAGGAGTCGTGTCCTCGACCAGCGCTGGCTCGCATGTCACGCTTCCGGTATTTCCACACCGCCCATGTTTAGTACATCTCCCGTCCTGCGTCATGTCTGGTTTCCCGCAAAACCTGTCGTCGAACAAAAATTCGTGTCCTCGACCCGGCGTCGCTCTGCCGTGCTATTCTGCGCCGTGGCATGCCGTGCACCATCGTGCATCTCGTACCCTCTCGGGACCACTGCCCTGCTCGACGCCCGACTGTGCGAACACAGAGAATATCTTCGCCATGGGAAGGGGCGGGAGGAAGGGATTAGGACGTCAGATAAGACGCTTGCGCACCTAGCTGTAGGGGGCCACGTGCGAACCCTACCCCACCACCAAACGGCTTCTAAAGGGGGAGGTCAGGCTCACTTCGCTCGAGAGGTCCCGAACAAGTGAGTCCCACCTTCCCACGTAGACATCGTGGGGTGGTGGGGTAGTGTTCGCAGGTGGCCTCCTAAGCTTGACTTCCCCCCCCCCTCCCCGCAACCTCCTCCCCAGGGCCGCCCTGCCGGGCTGGCCAGCGCAAGCGGGGGACGGGACGAGTCCGCGGAGATACGTGCACGAGCCCTGGCCGGAAGGGCTGCTGCAGCATACAACATCTCCGGGTGTCGCCAGGAGTGCCCCTGGCCCAAGGTGCTCTCAGGCTCGGCGGCGAACGAGGGGGGAAGTGAGAAGGGGCGGGCCTCCTCAGAAGGCTCGGAGGTCCCCCCGGCCTGCTGAGAAATTTGCTAAGCCTTCCCGAGAACGGGAGGCCCTCTGAGAAGCCTTCCCGCCTCCCGAGAAGGCGTTCTACTTCTCGGGTCCCCGCCGCAGACAGGATTGTCGGGGTGGCCCCGACGGCCTCCAGAGCACAACTCACGAGGCCCAGTGGGCCCCAAGGGCCCCAAGATGGAGCGAAAAGCTGGGGGCACCTTGGGCCAGGGGCACTTCTAGCAACACCCAAAATCTAGATGCTCTTCGGTTGCCCGAATTCAAACGAATTCCCAGCGCCCCACCCGTCTCAGGGAGAAGGACGAGGACGAGGACGAGCATTAGGAGGATCGAGTCCTCGGGCCGATCTCGATCTGGTCCCCGGGAGCTCTCGTCAAACCCCCCGTCACATCCTCCTCCCCCCTCCCTCTCGGGTCACACGTCGGTCCAGCCCCTGAGATTCCTCGCAAAAATTGGGTCGGGAGCAAAACTCGTGGATTTTCCCATGCACGCCGTGCTTTCTGGTCAGGATGTCATCGGACATCAAGGTCGTCCACCCTCTTTCCCTCCATTTCCATCCCATCTTCCCTCCTCTGATTCATTCCTCCTCTCCCACCATCTTCATCATCCCTCCCTCCTCCCTCCTCCTCCCCGCCCCTCCCCTCCCTCCCTCCCTCCCTCTCATCCCTCTCATCCCTCCTCAAGCATACGGTTCTCCTGCTCCCTACAATGTCCGAATTCCGTGCGCCCGCAAGCAGCAGTTTCCAACGTGCGGGGCGATGTAATACCTGGCCTGCACGCAGATGTCGCGTGACCCACAGGCTCAAGCCCCGCTGGGTGCGGAACGCTTAAAAATCCGATCCGCTCGCCAAGGCGCCGATCGCACCTCAGGGCCAGGCAGAGAGCAATCGATACTCACCTCTGTCGGTGCCGAGCGCGTCCTCCCCCCACTCCTCCCAGGAAGAGGAAGAGGGGGGAGATCCACCACCACGAGGCCCTCACGAGGAGAACGTCTGGGTCCCCAAACTCGTGTTCCTCCTCTTCCTCCTCCTCATCATCGTCATCATCATCACAATCATCATCATCATCACCGTCATCACCACCATCAACATCATCATCATCACCACCATCAGCACCACAACCATCACTGTCACAATCACCATCAGCATCACCAGCATCGTCACCATCAACATCATCATCAGCATCATCAGCATCATCAGCATCATCATCATCAGCATCATCATCATCATCATCATCATCATCATCAGCATCAGCACCAGCGTCATCATCATCATCATCATCATCATCAGCAGCAGCAGCATCAGCATCAGCATCAGCATCAGCATCATCATCATCATCATCATCATCATCATCATCATCATCATCATCATCATCATCCCATTTTGGCCTCCTGAGGGGGGGGACCCTAATTAGGGCCCCCCCCCCTCCTGTGATCGATCTCACCCAGGATGGCCAAAAGATGGCCCCCAAGGCTCCCAAAGGTGCCCCAAGAGGGCCCCAAGAGGTGGCCAGGGAGGCCCAAGAGGCCCCCAGGATGCTCCCAAGAGGCTCCCAAGAGAACCCCAAGAGGCGCCAAGAGACCCCCCAGAGGCACCCAAGATGCTCCAAGAGGCCTCGGCGAGAATGCCAAATCATTGATTTCACAAAAGGTTTCAGCCACATGTTGGCCTCTTGGGGGGGCACTGATTAAGATAACTCCAAGAGCGCCTGGGAGAGCCCAAGATGACCTCCAAGCTGGCTGAAGATATCCCCAGGTGTCTCATAATGGCTTCCTCTGTGTGCTTCCCACTTCCCTGATCGAGGCAATTCCTCTGGGCATCGTTTCTGGATGGGCTGGTTTGGTTACGCGAAGCGTATAGAATTATCATAATCATCACGAGCACCACCACCTTCAGCGTCATCATTACTTACCACCACCACCATCAAGATCATCAGCGGCATCATCATCATCAGCAGCATCAGCATCAGTATCAGCATCAGCATCGGCATCATCATCATCATCATCATCATCATCATCATCATCATCATCATCATCATCATCATCATCATCAATCACCATCACCATCATCATAGTCATCCATCATCAGTCTTGACATCATGATCATCATCACCATCTGCAGCATCAGCAACATCATCATCATACTCATCCTCATCATCGTCAATTTGTCATGATGGTTATCACAATCACCAGAACCGTCAGCATAACCATCCATCATCAGTATTGAAATTAACACCAACATCATTAATACCACCATCATCATCAACATCAACACCACCATCACAACCATCATCACAATCATGATTATCGCCATCATCACCATCATCATCATCCATCAGAGTACCATTATCATCGAGGTGGCGTTTATTTCAGCGGCTTGCGGTAACCTCCTCCTTATGGGGTCGCGCACCTAGACACAAATCTATTCACACTAAGGCTTGCGGGGCATTGCCCGACGCTTAGTGCACATAACCTGGGGAACGCTTGGCGCTTGCAAACCTGCCCCGAAGAGTGTCCACTACACTGTGCGGGGTGGTGGTTGCAAACGTACAGTAGTTGGGGAGAGCAGACACAGTATCAATGACACGCCGCCGTGGAGGATCCGTCAGCATGCTGCTGGTGAAGAAGTGCCAGGCATTCGGACAAAAACGAAGGAGTAACACGCTGACGAGCTCCCAACGGCGTCGGGTCATTGATGTTCTCCAGACATGCGATGTCTTGCTGTTTCCGATACGGCCCCACCGGAAGTCTCGACCCTTTCCACAGCGCCGGCGGTTTGTTGACGGCCCTCGGGCCCAGCGAGGGCCCCCGCAGGCCGAAAACGGCCAACAAAACCATTCCCGTGATTTCTTGGGCATGACGCGACCCTGAGATCCGACGGCGCGACCGCGACACAACATCGAAACATCGTAAAACGAAAAGTACGACCCGAGCCCTGGACCCCATCCTCCTGCACCACTTCTCGAGCTGCATCGGTCTGTGAGGGCCCCGGGGCCCGAAACCTGACGAGGACACGCCCGGCGCGGAAAAACATCGAGACGCCAGCAGACTCGAATCGGGGGCGCGCAAACATGGATTAGCGATCCATGGATTTGGCGCGCGGTCGCCACATCCATGGATCGGGGGAGGTGCCCTCCCCAAAATGCGGCCAGAGCCGCCTCGCTCGGCGGCGGAAATCCGCGATTTCCCATGGGAACGGGACCCGTCGCTAATCCACGCCCCCCTGATCCATGTTTGCGATCGCCTGAGCAAAGGGGGAGCGCAAGCCCGGGCCCGTGCCCCACTCCCGATCGCAGCAAACCACGTGGCCAGGCTGCTGCTGCCCCGCGAGAGGCGCCCGTAGGGGGCGCGCCGCCGCACAGCGCGCGCGGGGGGTGGGGGGGGGAGGAGGAGGAGGAGGAAGGAGGAGGAGGAGGAGGAGGAGGAGGGAGGAGGGAGGAGGAGGAAGGAGGAGAGGGGGAGGAGGAGAGGAGGAGGAGGAGGAGGAGGAGTGGGAGGAGGAGGAAGAGAGGAGAGGAGGAGGAGGCGGGAGGAGGAGGAGAAGGACGAAGGAGGGCGGAGGGAGGAGGGGGGGAGAAGGTAGGAGGGCGGGGGGCCGCGAGGCCCCGCCCCCTCCCCTCCCGTGAGCACGGCGCGAGGCGCCTCGCGCACGCTGAGCAAGGACCGACCGCCCCGGCATTCCTATGGGGGCCTAACACGACATGTCCTCAGAGCCCGAAGCAGCTCTAAGAGCAAGAACAGTGCTCTCGGAAGAAAGATAAGCAGAAGCCTCCTAGATGGGGTCCGAGTAGGTGGGATCGGAAGACCGCTCCGCATCTCCGATGCATGGGCGATACATCGGCGATGCATCGGCGAGGTCGGCGATGCATCGGCGACGTCGGCGTTGGGAAACACGGTCTCCACATCGAGTCGCATCGTCGATGCATCGACGATGCGGCGCGATCATCCGACCCCATCTGCTCCAACCCCATCTAGGAGGCCCAGAACAAAGCGGACGTGCTAAAACAACACAGCCAGAACTGCTGTGAGAACATGTCGTGCGAACCACAAGCCTTCCTTGGTTTAGGTCGGGCATGTCCTCCTACAGGCGGATTTTCGAGGACAACTGAAAGATAGTCAACACAAGCTCGGAACTAATAAAAACATAATCGAATAATCGTCCCCCAACTATTTTTTGACTATTTTTGGCCCTTCCTCCTGTGTAGAGACAGGCCCGACTTACTCCGTGGTGGGCCCGCAGGCACGCCGGGACGCCTCGCCACTGCTGGAGCACGGGGGCCGGTCGCCCGATGCGCGTCACTTCTCCGTGAGATGCGTGACGGGGGACCACCCTGGCCCGGGCGGAGCCGCAAGGAGCTCCTGGGCTAGAGGCTCCACCTCGTCCTCCTCCTCCTCCTCCTCCTCCTCCTCCTCCTCCTCCTCCTCCTCCTCCACTGCCCCTCAACCTCCTGCGCCTCCTCCTCCTCCTCCTTCTCCTCCTCTTCCTCCTCCCCCTCCTCCTCCTCCTCCTCCGCCTCCTCCTCCTCCTCCGCCTCCTCCTCCTCCACCTCCTCCCCCTCATCCTCCTCCGCCCCCTCCTCCTCCTTCTCCTCCTCCTCCTCCTCCTCGTCCTCCTCCTCCTCCTCATCCCCGTCCTCCTCCTCC